AGCTCTATATACAGACTTCAGCAAAGCGTTTGACAGAATTGATATCCCAATGCTGATGTTTAAATTAGAAAAAATGGGAATTGGGTTCTTTAAGGGTATTGAGGTAAATGCATATTCGTAATCTGCATTAAAAATGTAACCCAAACCCAAATTTTCCTCAATTTTGGTACACTGGAACTATTTTAAATAAGTACGATTACATTTGCAAAAATCACCTTATTTGCGCCCCTCGGTGTCACTTTGTATGGGATCGAGCTGTCAGTTTGTTAGTTTAGCATCAAACAGTGAAGTTGTTATCTTGCTTTAAATGTTAATTTAAAAATCTAGATGAAAGTGTGTGGGTTCGAAAAAAATATCGCTGTACTCAGAAAACGAAGCTCTTTCAGATGATGTATAAAAAACGATACATTTTTCAAAATTAAAGAACCCAATTGAGATTGAGCTCCTCACCTGGATTAAATCGTATTTAGTTGATCGCCAGCAAATTGTAACATTCAACGAGAAAACATCTAAGCCAATTCATGTCCCGTCCGGGGTTCCCCAGGGCTCGCACCTAGGTCCCCTTCTTTTTATTTTGTACATTAATGACGTCTCTCTTATTTTAAAAAAATATCAGGGTGCTTATATACGCTGATGACAAGAACCTATTTTTAGAAATAGGAAGCGATAACGATATGAATGTGTTTCAGAATGAAATACATGTTTTTACAGATAGTGTAGTAAAAGTTTATTGAAACTAAATATTAAAAATGTAATCTTATAACGTACAGTAGAAAACTAAACAAACAAAATCTTTGTATTACATTAGGTAATGAAAATGTTCAAAAATGTGAAAATGTAAGAGATTTAGGTGTTATTCTAGATTCTAAATTGACATTTGTGAACCATTATAACACAATAATACATAGAGCAGGCAATATGCTTAATTTTATAAAACGTTTCGGTATCCACTTTAAAGATCCTTATACAATAAAATCACTTTACGTTGCTTGTGTGTGGTCAATTTTAGAATATTGTAGCGTTGTTTGGTCACCCTATATGAAAAAGCATGAAGAACGAATAGAGTCAATCCAAAAGCAATTTTTATTATATGCACTACGTAAGTTAGGTTGGACGGCTTTTCCTCTCCCGTCATATGAAGCACGTTGCTTGCTGATCAGCATTCAAACATTGAAAGAACGTCGGGATTACGCAAAGATTTCTTTATTTAACAATATCATTTCGCAACGCATTGACTCAGCTGATCTATTGTCAAGGTTAAATTTGTATGCACCTTCCCGACAATTGCGCAATCGACAGTTGTTCGCAGTAGATCGCCATCGGACCAATTACGCTAAATTTGGACCTGTAAATCAGATGATGACTGTTTATAATCATCATTGTGAAATGATTGACCTAAATATGCCCTCAACAGAATTAAAAATATATTTCAGAACTCTGCGAAGTAATAGAACATAAGTCCTAATGTTAATATGTAGTCTACGATTTGATTGATCAGAATCAGATTGACCGCCCACGGTTGCTGCTCTGTTATTACCAGATCAGCTGCAATTACACAGAGAACCAACAGATGATGTTTGGGACTAACATTCATCCTCAATGTGTAAGAACTGGAGATCTAATATTTAGCAATACAAGCGCCGGCCGTGTCCGAATGCAGGTCAACTAGGGAATGGGAAGGAATGTGTTGACGTGGTACTCGCTGTGAAGGAAACCGAGAAAATCCTCTGCGCTTCCACGAGAAATCACTGGGATGTTGGATGTGGGAAAAGGTTGCACGCACACGCAGGGATCGTTTTTTGGTAGAGCGATTATAATACACAAACACACACACACACACACACACACACACACGCGCGCACTCTTCCAATTTCTATTTTTAGATCAGGACCCACACTGTGGTAAGTGATGCGATCGGTGTTAAAGAAGAATTTGTTTTCATTAAAATCTAGTGGGTATAGAATAAACAAGCATGGGAAAATTCATTCACTCGCGTGAGTGCCACAGAATCAAAATAGCCATCCTCACCTACAAACCGATTGCCGAACGAGTGTAAATTCTTCCAACCAAGTGACTCTGCAGGTCGACTCAGAACTAACAGCAGTAGAAGGAAAGAAGGATAAACTGAAAGACAACCGAAAAATTTTCTCTACCGAGGAAGAACCAGATTGAATGCTTAAGATCCGAATGCTAACGATTTAAATAGCCGAGTCAGATAGTTTTTGGCTCATTGATTTAAATCAGTTGAATTGGCCACAGCAGTTTTACGGTATTTGCTTGACGCTTATGTTTATGTGTCACAGTATAACCATTTTCTCCATATTAACAGCAATTTAAATGTGTCAATGTATGTTTTAAGCTAGAAAATAAAAAGTGATTCTTTCTGCTAAAGGCTCAGCAGGGAAAAAAAATAAGAGAGGAATCATCCACACTACTACACTCAGAATCATTCATGTTACGCTCAGCTGTCTGCTTTGCTCAATTCCGCGTTCATCGAAGAAAATAGAAGCAATGCGAATACGAACGAAATCAGTGCGGCTCGCACAAGCTGCTGTTCGTTTCTGATGTTGTATGCGTGTGAGTGAGTAGTAAATGCAAAATGAATCGATTTTTCCCATGCTTGAGAATAAGGCAAAGTGAAAAATTGCAAGGAAGGGGACGGGCCTGGGATTGAACTCCCGATCTTCTGCTCAGTAAGCAGAAACGGTAACCACTGAGCTACTGAGCCTCGTCAAAGTCTACGATTTGATTGATTGACGAATAAATAAATAAAAGAATAAAAAAGAAAGCGAGCTAGACAACTTTTAGGAAGGTACAAATCAGTTTTATCCAGCCCAGTGGCAGGCGCGTAGGCCACATGTTATACCGTGACAGCGGGCCCAGCACAGCAAAATAAATGATTTGAGCCCGGGACATGCTGCATACTGTCAAACGCTGCTGTTGGTATAGGCCTTGTCACTGGCCTGGTTTTATCATCTCTCTTTACCAAACTCCCTCTTTGGAGAGGGATGGTGAGGGGTATCACAACCCCCCTAAACCCCACCCCCCGCCACCACTGGCAAAAAGAGATGATCACCAACCCGCTCATGTACCAACGATGTGTTTGAAACAGTCCTACCGATTTTTACCGCACTCCAGTTGTTATCTGAAGGAAGGCATCCAGTCGTAGGTTTTGAAATTGCAGCTATTGTTACCTCTACCACGGTATGGGCTCCTGTCATCGTCGACTTGACGATCTCGAGGGGAAACGGGTGGGGTAGGTGCTGCTACCATAGAGGTAACTCTAAAACTAGTAGGTCCCGATGAAACGTGCTCAACTTTTTGGCTCAGCTCTGGTACTATCTTCGGTCCCAAGATAGTCGATTCACCCCTCGAAACATAGGAAAATACAATAACCTCTCATTTTATCTGTCAAAATTTCATAGCGAATCAAAACAAACATTGTGTAGTACTAGAATTTTGACTAGAATGAGGTACGTCAATCGATTTGCTTGGGACCAATAGGCTTCTCAAGTAGTGAGCCAATTTAAAATCGTTAGTTTTGTATTGATTGTTGCTGCTACTGTACCTTTCGACCAATGACAAGAATTGATGGTATGCTCCCAACCAGAGTTATGTACTTTGACTATATGTTTAGTATTACTTCTGCGTGAAGTCAACGATTTACATAGTTGAAGATGCTAATTTCAAATAACACACTAAACTAAAGCAGTAATTTTTATACGATAGATGAGGAGATGAAAGTATAGAATTGATAGTTCCGATTAGAGTACGACAGTGCAAAAATTGCATATAGAAGTAGAAAGCGAGCTAGACAACTTTTAGGAAGGTACAAATCAGTTTTATCATCTCTCTTTACCAAACTCCCCCTTTAGAGAGGAATGGTGAGGGGTGTCCCCCCCCCCCCCCCGCCACCACTGGCAAAAAGAGATGATCACCGACCGGCTCATGTACCAACAATGTGTTTGAAACAATTCTACCGATTTTTACCGCACTCCAGTTGTTAGTGCCGTACTCTAAACGGAACTATCAATGCTATACTTTCATCTCCTCATCTATCGTATAAAAATTTCCACTTTAGTTTAGTCTGTTATTTGAAATTAGCATCTTCAACTATGTAAATCGTTGACTTCACGCAGAAGTAATACTAAACATATAGTCAAATTACATAACTCTGGATGGGAGCAACCCTCAATTACTGTCATTGGTCGAAAGGTACAGTAGCAGCAATGAGGTACAGAGAGAGGTGGCGCAGATCGTGAAATAGGGTTGTATAAGTAAACCAAAAAATCAACGTAAACGCAAGTAGTGACGTCACTACTTGCGTGTACTTGCGTGTATCGTACAGTGGTTGTGTGAGTGATTGCTTCACCTCGGTAATCCAGCTCATTGCAGTAGCAGCACCTACCCTACCCGTGTCCATGTTGCATTTTTCGCAACATTTTCGTCTTTTGGGTATGGGTCTCAAATCTCAAAATGACTAAATTACAAGTGATAAACGAGCCAAACGATAACGCTATGTCAGAAATGGGAAGCAATAATCTTACCCCTTTTCGTCATGAAAACCTACTTTGCAATATAGCTCGCTAGGGCCGGTAGTTGGAAACGATCAAATTGTTGGCAAACTGCTTCACGAAGTAACGCCGAAGATGATACACGTGTGTTAATGAGATTTTTTATGTCTTTTCTTGATTCCGATCAACCTATGTCCCCGTGTATATTGCAACAAAGCAGACAATCAATATATCATTCTCCTTCTACAACTCCGATCAAGCTATGTTACAGAGAGCGCTTATCGTGGTAGAAGCAGCAAGTGCTTTGCCTTTATCTTTGGTTGTTTTATGTGTTTGGATTCACTGGGTAGGCTCAACTGTCCGTCCAGGTTCTGGTACATTATCTATGCATGAGACCATTGAGAAAACCTAGCCCTCATAACTCAACTACATGGCTACGTTGCTTCGTACAAGAACGAATCTGAAAACCTTCGTATAGGTACTCACCCATTATGACAAACTCATTCCACCACAAGAGTCCACCGGTAACGACGAAATCTTTCTCCTGGGTTTCGTTTCCAAATAGCTTCCACTTACGACTGTTAAACGAATAAAGGGCTACACCGGTTCGTCCTGCCACTGCCACATTAGTTCCCAGAAAATCGATTGCACTGTACTGGAAAAAACGAACCGAGGTTATCATGATGAGGATATAAAGACTGTTCATTTAATACAATGGACACACAAAAAACCAGTAACTTTTTCATTTTACGTTTTATCAGCAAGCACCATATTGAGAAAAGCTTCATATTCTGAACGGCAAGATATACTTTAAATGTTTGAACATTAATGGAGCATGCTTCAACTTTGAAATAGCGTTATATTCCACCTATGTTGTGACCAGGCTGAATGGAGCCGAGCGTAGCATTTTTATAAGGAGTAAAATTGCTACTCACAAATCATTCTACCGAGCCTCACAGTTTGTGAGCAAAAGGGGATAAAACGAGAGTGAGGAGCTACCTAAACCCGAAAGGTAAGAGTATTTTAAATCCTTCAGTGAATTTGAGGAGTTTCATCAAGTCTCATTTAAAAATATGGCCGCTTGACGCATACGCTAAGACGTTAGAGTAAAAGTATTGATCATAACAAGTTACAGGGCGGACTCGATTATCCGGAGTCTTGAAAAAAATTTCACTCCGGATAATCGAGCCCTCCGGATAATCGAGCCATGAAAAAAAAAAATTTTTTTTCGGTCTTATGTGGTCTCATTTAATGCTTTTAGTGGTCCCATTGAACGCTATTGAAGGATTATGGAATCGGACCACTGGTTTTGTAGATATGGCCGGAACAAGTTCCGGCGTTTATGGGCCATGAGGCTAAATTTGACTTGAAAGGAACAAGACCCATTAAGCGAAACACAAATTAAATCAAAATTTGATATCAAGATCAATGATGGCAAAAATTAAGTACCTTGGACCATATTGGCCACTTTCGGGCAAGTTCCGGGTGCCTCCGGAAAAGTGACCAGAACCAGACTTGAATGATAACCTATCATGCGACACATCAGATTATATCAAAATTCGATAACCAGATCAATGGTGGAAAAAATTAAGTACCTTGGACCATATTGGCCACTTCCGGACAAGTTCCAGGTGCCCCGGGAAAGTGACCAGAAACATACTTGGATAATAACCTATCATGAGGCACATTAAAATACATCAAAATTCGATAAGAAGATCAATGGAATTGAACCCATGGACCATCCACTTGAGAAGCGAACGTGTAGCCAATTACGCCATGGGACCCCTCAACTTGACAAAAATCGTAGCGACTCTCACGAGTGTGTAGAGACAAAGTTGAGCTTGACTAAAAATCACGACGCGGTTCCTAACTTGACGCACCATTTTCTATTAATATTTTTGAAATGTTAACATTGCAAATATTAGTTTCAGTGCTCTAGGGATGATAGTGTAACAATTCAACTGATGGTTGCTGATAAAGCGGCTGCTGGCGAAAATGAAGACGAGAATGCGGACTTCGATGTCATGTCTGATGCTGACATAGTCTGTTCTTAACCATGATTCACATTTTTATGAAGGAGAAAGCGTGACGAACACCACTCTGGATGAAACTGCAAACATTTCTACAGCAGATGACAACCAAGATGAGGAGTACGAACCAGTTCCAGATCAATCAGCGCTGAACAGTATTGACACTATCATCACATGGGCTGAGGAAAACCAATTGCCGGTGGAACGGCAGTTTTTACTTCGTGAAATCAGGGGAAATATTCTTGATAAAATAGTCAATAAGGATTGATGTTTGATCAAATTTGCAATTATCTTTGTTTTTACTGAATCACTTTACTGATGAACTACTGTTTTTACTGAAATGATGAATAAATGAATTGAACTACAAAATAAGATAAGAAAATTGATATAAATTTTCAGGTATGATCAAAAGATCAATTCTCACGAAACCCCCCTTTAACCCTCCGTTACTAGCGCCAACTTTTATAACACGAGTACTCGCTCGTTGTACTTTGTACGGCGCAAAGTTTTTCAGGAAGTCCAGATCTTTTCGTTGGTGGAGTAGTTTAGAAAATTCTCACTACGTGGCTCTAGTATATAAATGCATTTTTCGCATATACAATAGCTCGAGATCCTGAGCAGATAGAAGTTACTGTCTTCGGCAAACTTGTTCAGGGTGTCAAGTAGTTTTGGCTGGTGGACAGTAATTCAGAATTTTCCCACTATACGCCGCTAGTATAAACGTGAAATTCTCATATAAAATATCTCGAGATCCTGACCAGATAGAAAGTTACTGTCTTAGGCAAAGCTGTTCAGGAGATCATAGCTTTTTTGCTGATTAACAGTAGTTCAAAATCTTCTCACTAGGTAGTGCTCGTATACATGTTAAGTTCTCGCATGTGATACATCACTAGATCCTGACGAGATAAAGAATAAATGTCTTTGGCAAAATTTTCAGGAAGTCAAGATCTTTTCGTTGGTGGACAGTTGTTCAGAATTTTCTCCCTACTCGGTGCTAGTATACGCATGCAATTCTCGCATATACAAGATTTTTTGGCTGGTGGACAGTAGCCTAGAAATGTTTCACCACATGGCGCTAGTAAACGTGTACAATTCTCGCGTATGCTAAGCTCGAGATTCTGAACAGGTAGAAAATTACTGTATTCCAAAAAGTTGTTCATGAGGTCAATGCCTATTGTTAGGTTCACAATAGTTCAGAATTTTCACACTACGTGGCGCTTTTATACACGCGAAATTCTCGCATGTAAAATATCTCGAGATTCTGATCAGATAGATTTCTTCAGTGGACAGTAGTTCAAAATTTTCTCACTACGTAGCGCTTGAATACACGTGAAATTCTCGCATGTGATTTGTTTCGAGATCCTGACCAGATAGAAAGTTATTGTCTTCGACAAAGTTGTTCAGGAGGTCAAAGCATTTTTGGCTGGTAAACAGTAGTTAAGAATTTTCTCACCACGTGGCATAGATGTACACTTCTCGCATATGCTATATCTCGAGATCCTAATCAGATAGAAAGTTACTGTCTGCAACAAAGTTATTCAGGAGGTCAAAGTCTTTTGACTGGTGAACAATAGTTTAGAATTTTCTCATAAACTTAAACTCTTTAAACTCCTGAACAACTTTGTTCAAGACAGTAACTTTCTATCTGGTCTAGAACGTGAGATATTTTATATGCGAGAATTTCACACGTATACTAGCATCATGAAGTGAGAAAATTCTGAACTACTGTCCACCAGCCAAAAGACCTTGACCTCCTGAACAACTATCTATCTGATCAGAGTCTCGAGATATAGCATATGCGAGAAGTGTACATGTATAATAACGCCACGTAGTGAGAAAATTATTAACTACTATTTATCAGCCAAAAAGTCTTGACCCCCTAAACAACTTTGCCGAAGACAGCAACTTTCTAGCTGATCAAGATCTCGATCTATTGAATATGGGAGAAAGGCACGTATATACTAGCACCGCATAGTGAGAAAATTCTAAACTATTGTCACCCAACAAAAAGATCTTGACTTCCTGAAAAACTTTGCCGAATACATTTACTTTCTATCTGGTCAGGATCTAGAGATATTTTATATGCAAGAGTTTCACATCTATAGTAGCACCACAAAGTGAGAAAACTCTGAACTACTGTCCACCTGCGAAAAAGCCTTGACATCCTGAACAACTATGCCGAAGACAGTACCTTTCTATCTGGTTGGGAACTCGAGATATTTTATATGAGAATTTCACGTGTATACTAGCGTCGCGTAGTGAGTAAATTCTGAACTATTGAGCACCAAGCAATAGGCTTTGATCTCCTGAAAAACTTTGTGAAAGACAGTAACTTTTTATCTGGTCAGGATCTCGAGATATATCACATGCGAGAATTTCACATGTATACTAGCGCTACGTAGTGAGAAAATTCTGAAATACTGTCCGCCAGCGACAAGGCTATGATCTCCTAAACAACTTTGTCAGAGACAGTATCTTTCTATCTTGTCTGAATCTTGTTATATTCCATGTTGTAATCAATTAAGTCCAATCCCACGTAGTATGGTCACAGTTTTCCCGGTTTCCATTTACATATTCCCTATTATCCGCATTTTTTAGGTGTTTACTGTAATCAAAGTTTAGCTTGTTTAGATCAAAACAAGTTTTTTGAGGAATACTCGTTGGTTTCAGATCGATTGGTAACTCAGCAACAAAATGGCAATGGAAAACTTATGTGTGTTGTACAAAGTACAACAGCGCGAGTAACGGAGGGTTAAAGGCCCTTTGGTACATTTTTTTTACGGATCTTCAAAAAATTTGTTCAGTTGCCATTCCCCCCCCCCCCCCCTGAAACGTGACGTGATTAGTGAACGGAACATCATGGGATTCAGTTTTTGTATGTTGTTGTGGCACATGATACGTTTGATTCCTTTCAGGTCAAAGGTAATCCAAAACCCCTTAACGCCGGATTTTGTAACAAAGGCAAACAAACACTTAAATATAGTCATTTCCCGATCTTGTCAGACTGAGTCGAACGATGTATGTTACTCGTCCTCGGATCGAAAGTCGGTTTTCCAAGCGGTTTATGAAAAATAATTTGCAAGATAGGTAAAAAAATATGACTCCGGATAATCGAGCCATTTTCTCCGGATAATCGAGCCATTTTCTCCGGATAATCGAGCCCCGGATAATCGAGCCTCCGGTTAATCGAGCCTCCGGATAATCGAGTCCGGCCTGTATAATTTAAATAATTTTACTACGCTTTTGCCTGATTATTAACTGAGTAAGTAGGCTTCGGTGGTAGATCTTACATCCCGTAACGTACCACGAAAAGGTGATCTACCCACGTTACGGGGCAACTGAGTAAGTTAATTTCATGGTTTGTTGATGGTTTTAGTTCGTGAACTCTCGTAAATGTGCTGTGCAAAATATGCCACAACTTTTCACACTTTGTTCCTTAACCCTTTACTTCCCAGAAGGTTTGTTGTTGATTTGAGATGCAAACATATATTTTTGGAGTGCCTAAAATTATAGAATCCATCAAAAAAAGATTTGTTCAAAATCAATAATATGTTAAATGTTATTCAAAAGTTACTCAGTTCAATCCTCAATAATGCATATGAACGAGAATAATAAACACACGGAG